CCTTGAGCTGAAGAGCTGAGGGACAGCGCCCAGGCCCAGAGTTCAGGCCCTACAACCGGACCCCAAAACAGAAAAAGAAATCTTCATTTTCATTTAGATGGTACCATAATGAATACAAAGAGAGTAATTATTTTTAAAAGTTTCTGGGGCAGTGGAAATTTCTTCTGTATCCTTTGTTGAATATTTCTCCTTCTCTGTGTGGAAATATGATATTAAATTTTTTATTAAGTTTTTTTTTTATTGTGAAAATACCAGATGGAGGGTTACAATTACATGGGCAAGGTAACGAGTACATTTCTTATCAAGCATTGTTGCCTCCTCTTTTGTTTCCCCTTCCCATCCCTGCCCTCCTATATCTTCCCCCTCCCCGCCAAAGTTGTAAAGTTCGTTTTTCGACGTTTGCTTTACTTCTTATGCATGGGTTGAACTGTCTATGCTCTACCTGTGCCAAAGAGCAATAGCACGCATGCCCTCTTCATCCTTTTCAATCATGCTTTACAATCTTACTGTTCAAAAAGAAAATTACCCTTCCTGTAAAAAAAACCCACAACCAACCATAGCACAACACTGTGTTTGAAATGTTCACTGAATGTCAGAAAAGCCAAATTAATACTATGTGTATTCTACTTCAGAGGAAAATTTTAGGTAAGGATGAATATTTGAATAGACTGCATAATTATGAAAACCTGCCCTCTGAGCTGGGAGTTGGTGGCTCACACCTGTAATCCTGGTCACTCAAGAAGCTGAGATCTGAGGATCATGGTTCAAAACCAGCCTGGGCCATGAAACTCTTTTATCTCCAGTTAGCTAGTAAAAAGCCAGACTGGAATGAAAAGGCAAAGAGATGGCATCCAGGCCCTGAGTTCAAGACTCAGGACTGTCACAAGCTCACAAACAAACCCTGCTGCTATTTCCTTGCATCACAGGAGCTGAAGCTAATCAGCTAGCACAAAGGTGAAAAGACCACAACACTTATCCCACAAAAATAAGCTCAGGACAAGGGACACGTTCCTGTGCCAGGAGACTTTTTTTCATCAAAGTTTCTAAACAACAATCTCCACGATGAACTCTGATCACCAACCACTGCTGATATCAACAACCCTCTAACTTTGAAACTGCCTCTTTCACTGGTGCAATAAACATATCCCAAGTACCCAGCTAGGTGGCCAGTCTCAGTAAAACAAAAATGAGTCACACAGCTCACATGCTAAAGGGCCCTGCCTGACGAGTGCTGTAATGAAGTCCCACTGAGTTCCCCAGGAGAGCCTGCAGCTCCCACGGTGCCCGATTACCTCCCATTTGCTATTGCTTTGCCTCTATGAATTCAAAGCCTAGTGCCTATTATCCCTGGACTATAATTAAGTTAACCATTGTTCTGCACATACAATACAAATCACCCTTATTCCCTATCTTACATCCTGAACAAGAAAAGGAAACACTCAAAAAATGGTGTTTAAATGAATGCTTACGGAACAGGCAGAAGCAGAAGAAAAAAAAATCTCCCCTAGGACCCAGGACACATTGTTCCTGGTCTAATTGTGACTTCTCTTGGACTGTGGTCCTTATGCATTTCTTGGTAGATGGATGCGTCCATCTACTGAGGGGTTCCTGTATTTTCACCAGGAAATAGTTGTTTATGATAAGAGAAATTTTCTGTGGCATACAGATGATTGTACACTGTTCCATTAGAACTCATAGATCCATCAGCTAAATATACAACAGACAGTGGATTTAGAACAGAAATCTGCCAGTAAAAATCTACATCCAAATAATGGAATAGATTTGCCTTCATTTGGGCAAAACTGACATGTACAATATTGAACAAATAATGTTTTTTTTTTTTTTTTCCTGCTGTGACATAGCAGTTACTGGGCTCTGAGAAGCAGAGCATATTTCCAAGAATAGGTGGAAAAGCATAGAACATAGGAGAGAGGTTTTGTTTTGTGTGTGTTTGGGGGGTGGTGGTGAATACTGGGCCTAACTCATAACCTCACACTTTTGCTTTTTCTCTCAAGGATGGTACTCTAGCACTTAAGCCACATCTCCACTTCCAGTTTTTTTTTTTACTAGTTAATTAAAGACGAGAGTCTCACAGATTTGTCTGCCCAGGTTGGCTCTGAACTGAGTATTCCTATCTCAGCCTCCTGACTAGCTGGGATTAAAAGCATGAGTGACAGGTGCCTGGCTGGAATAAAAGGTTTTTTAAAGACCATGACTAGCCAGGTTCAATTAGTATACAATAATTTTCCTAACTCAGAGACGCACACGTGTGCCATGCACACCAATTCTTACCTGTTTGTACTCGGATTCTCTTCCAACCAATACTTGTAGAACGTAGCTGACAGGGTCGCCCTTCATTGGTGGTACCGTCTCCCAAAAAATTTCACAGGAATTGCCTTCTAACTGTGTTACTCGTGGTGCTGGAACAGAAACGCACACATCCAAGCTTCAAATTTAACAGTCAATATTCTAGCTCTATTAGTAAGAATCCAGAAAGAGTGAGTGAGCGCGTGCCTGGGTCCGGCCTTATAGGAGAGGTATTTGCTCAGTCTCTCAGTAACCCAGCTGGGAGCGCTTTAGGCATAGAGGAGTTACTGCAGGACAGAATGGGATGAGATGTCTCATTAGTTAATATTAATATTAATAACTGTTGGCCTGGGGGCTGGGAAGATGGCTCAGTGGTAGAGCGCGTGCCTTGCATGCCTGAGGCCCTGGGTTCGATTCCTCAGCACCATATAAGCAAAAAGAAAAAAGCCGGAAGTGGCGCTGTGGCACAAGTGGTAAAGCGCTAGCCTTGAGCTGAAGAGCTGAGGGACAGCGCCCAGGCCCAGAGTTCAGGCCCCACAACCGGACCAAAAAAAAAAAAAAAAAGTAACTGTTGGCCTGCATGGATTCCCCCTCTCCCCCTCCCTCCCCAGTACTGGAGCTTCAACTCAGCACTTTGTGCTCTTGTTTGGCTTTATTGTTCAAGGCTAGTGCTCTACCACTTGAGTGGTATCTCTACCTCCAACTTCTTGGTGATTAAAGACCAAAGTCCCAACAGCCTTTTCTGCCTGGCTGGCTTCATACCTCGATTTTCAGATCTCAGCCTCTTAAGTAGCTAGGATTAAAGGTGTGAGCCTGTCCAAGTAGTGCTTTTCCTTAGTCTATTGTTTGTAGGGATGAGAGTGCTCACTACTCATACACAGCAGAGAACAGATGGCTTCTCCACATCCTCTCCTATCACCTCTCATCTAACCAGACAATCCGCTGCACCATCTGTTTTAGGATGTCCTTTTAATTTTGTTGGGCTAATACTAGAACTACTGCACCTATTTAAGGTAAGAATGGAACTTCCTACTCTAGCACCAAGCATGTCTTTCCTCTCAGGGGACAGTGTGACAGAGACCACTGGCTGGCGACTGACCTTTGAGGGTAGGGGGGACACTTTTGGTTGTGCTGAAGGTATAGGTTTCTGAGAAGGGCCCCTCCCCAGCCTCACTGGCTGCCTGGATTCGGAAGGAGTAACAGGTGAATTCCGTCAGTCTCTGGACCTTGTAGGTGTGGCTGGGTCCTCTGTAGATCGAAATAAACCTGGAGGAGGAAGAGGAGCCATTAGTCATCTGTAATCTTAGTGCTGAGAAATTAATTATGAAACAAGCTGGTGGAGGCCAATCTGATAAATTCTTTTCACATAGTCTGAATCAACCAGTTGCTAGGGAATGGTGAAGTTGAATGGCTAATGAGTATTTACATAAAAGAAACACAAAACCAAGCACATACAGAGATTGGAATGAGGTTCCTTTGGTTATGGTCCAGATTCTAGAAACATTAGTCACTCAGGTTTGTTTGCTTGTCCTCTCTTTTTCTCTCTCTGTCTCTCTCTCTGTGCACACACACACCAACATTGGGGCTTGAACTCGGCCTTCCACTTTTTCCTGGCCTTTTCACTCAATGTTGGTGCTCTACTACTTATGCCACAGCTCCACTTCTGGCTGTTTTAGTGGTCAACTGGAGGTAAGAGTCTCATAGACTTTCCTGCCCAGACTGGCTTTGAACTGTGATCTTCAGATCTCAGCCTCCTAAGTAGCTAGGATTACAGAAGTGAGCCAGCATCACCTGGCTCTTGTTTTTATTTACTAGTAAAGTATAGAATTTTTCAAACATTTCATTGTGGGGAAACACACACACACACACACACACACTCTCTCTCTCTCTCACTCCCTGATAGGCCTTACATAGCTTCTTCCTAAATAAGAAAATATTAAGGGTTATATACCTTTGACAAACATATGTAAAAAGAAAAAATTATGGTGTTCAGAGTCATCTGTCAGGTTCACTAAGATGAAGAAAAATGGCAGGGTTGAACTATTTAGGTTGAACTTATTTTTTTTTTTTTTGTCGGTCCTGGGGCTTGAACTCTGGGCCTGGGCACTGTCCCTCAGCTCTTCAGCTCAAGGCAAGCACTCTATCACTTGAGCTACAGCACCACTTCCGGTTTTCTGGTGGTTTATTGGAGATAGGAGTCTCACAGTCTCTGCTGCCTGGGCTGGCTTTGAACCGAGATCCTCAGATCTCAGCCTCCTGAGTAGCTAGGATTACAGGTGTGAGCCACCAGGCTGGGATGTAGCTCAGTGGTAAAGCGCTTGCCTAGCAAGTGCAACGTCCTGGGTTCGATCCCCAGTACCAAAAAAAAAAAAAGAAAAAGACAAAAAAAAAGGCTACTTGAACTTATTTTTTAATGAAACACACATAAAGATATCTAAAAAAAAAAAGCCTTGTATTTTAGGTATTACCCCGCCACCCAACCCCGCAGTCTTGAAAACCTACCACTTTTCCAGTGACAATGGGTTACCTAGAACTGCAAAATACTTATGCTAGTTTTTTAAAGCTAACTGTAAAATTCTATAATGTAACATTGTTGCATAAGTTACAGGTTTTTGTTTTTTCCTGGAATTGGGGATTCAGCCTGCTGAGTAGCTAGGATCACAGGTGGGAGCCACTGTGAGTCACAGAGATAAAGGAAGTGACCCACTGGTCCGGGTACCCCGCGAGCCACCCCTTGACTTAACCCAACCACACCATGTTGTTTCCACAGGGGCTTCCTTGCACCTGCGCACTGGCTGCTGGCACTGTGCTTCTGGAAGCCAGTCACCCACAGAGTCACCATCAAACCTCTCTGACTGAAAGTAGAGCTTTGGCTCAAGTGGTGGAGGGAAGCGGGAAGTTCTCAAATATCTGCTGCATGCTAGATGTGGAGGCCTAATCCCAGGGGTTGGCTGGTCTGTGGGGTGGGGGACAGTTTTTCTGAATGACAGAGCACACTTTCATGTGTTGAAGAACACTCATGGATGGACATGTGGTTGATAGAGAAGGGATTAAATATCTTGTTTCTGTGTGTGTGCACGCGTGTGTTCTGCTCCTGGGGATTGACCTCAGGGCCTGGGCACTGTCCCTTAGCTTTCTTGCTCAAGCTGGTGCTCTATCACTTGAGCCACAGCTCTACTTCCAGCTTTTGGGGATTCATTGGAGAAGAATTTCATGGACTTTCCTGTCCAGGCTGGCTTTGAATCTGAATCCTCAGATCTTAGCCTCCTGAGTAACTAGGATGTGAGCCACAGACCAGAGGCTTACCTTTATTTTCTTAAGTGTGTCTGAGCCAATGTTTAATGTAGAACATCTAGACATCCCTCAGCCTTCGCTGTGGACTTCATGAGGCCTAGTCATCTCACTGTTTAGTGTTCTGTCCGCGCTGTGGTGGAGGGAAGTGCCTTTTACTTCTCAATCTCAAAGAAAGCCAGAGTCCAGGTTGGAACCCACAAATACCATGGCAACCTGCTTAGCTCTCCTGACATATTATCTCCTTAATGAAGACATCCTGGCTAATGCCAGAGGCAAAGAGCTATTTATTAACTCGGCCTCACCTGGGCCAGACTCTCTAACGGGAGTAATTACCCTTAATTATATCCCAAATGGAAGTCAAGGCTTGAAGAAGTGAAACCTCCAAGTGCATTACAACCCTGTCATAAGGCTCAGTTTAAAGAGTTTAGAGAAGATGATTAGGGAGGGCACTGCTGTCTGGCTTCTCTTAACTCCCAGGGGAAGCATTTTCTCTTGGAAAGGGGTTTAATGTGTCTGACTTTGTGTCCATGTTCAATCATAAGTGTTGGAGTGTCAATCGTGGTCACAAAGAAATTCACAAGGCACACAGAGTCCTCAAATTCTTCAGTATGACTGACACTGAACAAAGAACACACAGGCAATTTCCAAACTCACCAAACCCACTAGCTGTGCCACCATGTTTTATCAAGCAAATAAAATGGCATTCCTGCTGGCTGCTGGTGGCTCATGCCTGTAATCTTAGCCACTCAGGAGGCTGAGATCTAAAGAACACCATTCAAAGCTCGCCCAGAGGAAAAGAAGTCTGTGACACTCATCTACAATTAACCACCAAAAAGCTGGAAGCTGAGCTGTGGTACAAGTAGTAGAGTGTCAACTTTGAAGAAAAAAAGTGACAATGCCCAGGCCTTGAATTCTAGTCCTGGTATCTGCACAGCGTCTTTCTGGCAGATGCCACATAACACACACACACAGACAAGAACTTCTGTTTTTCTTTGCTTCTCAAATATCAAGTAGCAAAGATCAAACAAAAACACCAGCACGTGAGCCAACACACACAAATCTATATAACCCCTCTTTCACCCCCATTCTAGACTTATTTTCTATCATTCCAGGAGGCAGCAGAAAAGAGACTGTTTTTTTCCTGTCGAAATCAATGATTTATGGGCCGGCACATGGTTGAACACTCCATAGGGTCAACACCCCCGTGGCTAGAACCACTCCGGGAGAGATTAAAAATATTCATCAAATCCCGCCTTTACAAAAACCAACGTCATTTTCTTCTATTTTTCCTGAAAGACTGACTTAAATTTAAAATTTATTAATAAATAAGCTAGAGGCTTTGTGTGATAGAATAAACCATACCAAATATCCCAAGACACCACGACAGAAAGGGTCTGGTTTTGAATGTGATCAAGGATGCAGGCCTGATGCCAAGCTGTGTCAGCCAGGATGGTCTCCCAGCCACTCAAAGCCTGGAGATGGGAGCTGGAGGCCAGGCAGCCTGCTCTTCCAGTGCTGGAGCTCTTTTCTTCTTTGTTTTAGAAAATGGGTCTTGCTCTGTTCCCCAGGTTGTACTGCGACCTTGATCTTCCTGCCTTAACCTGCTGAGTGCTGACCTTACAAACACACATCATCTCACCCAGTATGGGCATTTTAACTCATGAAGGGGAAACAGTGGGAGGTTATGTGGGTGACCTCAGGCTGCAGTCTAACAGAATTCTTGGCGGCTCTGCCCCCAACTTGTTTTTACTTATATTAACAAATGTTACCATTATTCATAATAATAACATATTAAGAGTAATATTTTCTTGATGGTAACAAGCACACATGGATTTTACTGGAGGAGATTTTCCCAATGACTTACAGCTTGCTACTGTCTGTGCTCACGTAATGAAATGTCTCTCTGATACTACAATGGAGACAAATGTATGAGTGATGCCCCAGATATGCCGACGTTAAGTGTTGAACCCTAATGCAAACTAAGGCTTTGGCTGGTAACAAGAGTTTTGTGTAGGTTCATCAACTGTAATGATGCACCACTTTGGAGGGATGTTACTAATGGGGGCTGGGAGAAGAAGGGAGATGGGACACCAGTCTACCTCCCTCTTAAACTTTGCTATGAACCCAATACAGCTCTAAAATACAGACTATTAGTCAATAAAGAATATAAAACTATTAGCAAAGCAGGATGGCTCAAATCTGTAATCCTAGCTACTTGGGACATGAACATTAGGGGCTGTGGTCTACGTCTAGCTTGGGCACAAAAAGTTCATGAGACTCCATTTCAACCAGTGACTGGGTACAATGGTGCATGCCTGTTACTCAAGCTGTGGGGTGAGATGCAGAGGCACACATCTGTTGTTAACAGCGGCAGACATGGAGAAGCCCATGTAGGAGGACCAAAGCCCAGGCCATAAAATAAGATCCTACCTCATATACAGAATGTGTTTTAAGAGGTTTTCTTAAACCATCTGTTTAGAAAGGAACATCCAAGCATGCCTGATAGCCTATATCTTAAATACATCTTAAATGAAAAGACTTCTTGCGCAGGGGTTTGGGCTTACTGCTTTGCTGCCATCTTATCATCTGCGTGCCCACCAAAGGCTCACCACAGCCCTTTCACATGAAGACTCAGAATGATCTAACCTGCTGACCTGAAATGGCCTGTGATCCACAAAAGGTTGCAAATGGCATCTTTCAAAACATCTTTCACAACGTCACAAGCCCACATCTGTTCCCAAACTTGGTACAACGATATTCATTAACAATGACAATGTCTTCCTCTTTCTTCATTTTTGGGGTCTCATGGAGGCAGGGAGGAGCAGGGAGAAATCAAGAGGTGGGGGAAGAGAGAGGAAAGGAGGGAGGGAGGGGGAAGAAAGCTTCCTTTGTTATTCAAGTGGTATTTGGGTGCAGGAGATGTTGAAAGCAGGACTGGTGAGTGGACTCTCCCCTCACCCTGCCGGGAACAC